AATGTATATGATGACAAAATTGAAAAACCAAAGGAAATTATTATCGTATATAAATACAAATCAAATAAGAAATTGTTAGTTGTAAATTATATAAATATGGCGAATTATACGAACGTGATTAATTATACAAATTCAAAATAAGTTCACGTGATTAATGATTAATATAAATGAGAAATTATAATTATATATAGTAAACTATATCTATAATTAATCGTTAAGTAATATAAATTTACTAAATCAAATAAATTTTTTTAAAAAAACTAGATAGAGAAGCCTTCGAAATAACTAGTCATATATTTAAAAAAAATGATCATAACATAAGTGAACATATCGATTAAAATTGATTTGAGTATTTTTGACATAAATATTGTGAAAGAAGAAGAAAAAGTTTGATTCTGATTCGCTTGTTTGCTTGCACGCCAAAATATATGATAGGAAATGTAAAAAGATTTCAGGTTTAAAAAATCAAATTAAATTATAATGTGAATTAAAATAATTTAAAAAGTTAATGTTTGGTTTGATTTAGTTTTAAATTTCAAAAAATTAATATTATTGGTTTGGTTTTGATTTCACTTTTAAAAAATTATAAAAATAATTAAATCAAATGATAAATTAAATATATAAATTTTATAACTATTGTATATTATTCGTAAATAAAATTTAAATCCATCAAAATTCATTTAGTCTTTACTTATCCTACTTCACATAAAATAGTCACACTTTTTCTTTATTGAAATATTTTGTTCGTATAGTGATAAAACTAGTATTTATTAATTGTTTAATTGAATTGACAATATATTTTCGAAGAATTGTGCTAGGTATTTATTTCTATGGTCGTAAGTTCAAAAAAAAATTACTTTCAATTCGAATAAATGAAAAAATAAATCAAACTGACAATAATTAAATCAATAATTATTTTTTTCATTTGATTTAATTTTAATTAATTTTAAAAACAAATTCATTAATTTAATTTAATTTTAATCGATCCAAACCAAACAACAACTATCTAACTGATACCTTGACCTCACATATATATCACTCCCTTTTTATATTTTTGATATCCTATATATATTAAAAGTGTATTATATAAGTTAAAAAATGAAAAAACAATATTCTCTCCATCCCATTTTATGTGATATTATTTCATTTTTTATCGGTCTAAAAAATAATGTCACATTTTCTTAGTAAATATTTAAAGATATAATTTCTCTTTTACGTTTGTTAGTCTCATTTAAGTACTCTAATATATTTATGAGGATAGAGAAATGTGAGTTTATTTTTTTAAAAGGGCAATTTAATAAATAAATTAAAATCATTATTATTTCTTACATTCCGTACCGATTTATATATTGTCACATCAAATGGGACAGAGTGAGTAACATTATACTTTATCCGTTTTAAAAAGATTAGCCTAGACTGATTTGAACGTAGTTTAAGAAAAAAAAAAAGATTATCTAATTTTATAATTTTAATTTAAATTTATATCAAATATATTAAAATACCCTTTAATTTTGTGATTTGAAAAATTAAAACTAAATTATCATTAAAAAACTTTTTTTTTTAAATGGACTAAAAAAAATAGAATTATTCTTCTATAACAAAGAGAATAGTAATAATATAGAGTGCGTGAATGGATATGCAGTAGAAGAAGTATGTGGCGAGCCGTCAAGTAGTTGTGGGTCCATGTCGACAGGCTTTACACGTGGCACTATGTCACAATCCCTGGTTTTGGACCAATTTGCATGTCATTCTCCGCCCTTCTCATTTTCCATGAATTTTTTTCGCCTTTGAACTTCCAAATGACCAAACTACCCTCAATACTCGTTTTGAAATACATTGCAACTAATAATGCTCAAATTGTATAATAAAATTTGGTAATAGAACAACAATTGAAAATATAATAATTCATTATTGTTGTGTTCAAATTATTTTTACAATATTAATAAAATGAAGCAGAAGAAGTATAGAATAATAAGTAAGAAAAATGAGCAGTTAGGCCACAGAATAAATATGTCAAAATTGTAAGTTAAAAGTTTGAGAAGATTATGTGCTTTGGTTATGTACTTTTTAATCATAGACACAGCTTGAGACTACATTAAAAATTTAGAGATTTTATAATTTTAAGATATAAGAGAAATATTTTTAAATCATTGAGCCGTTAAATTAATTTTGTTAGAAATTGATAAAATAATCTACACATACATATAAAATTTACTAAAACATATTAAATTTATCCGAAGCCACAAACTCTACTTAGCGCTGACAGTAATTATACACATGATGTAAAAAGATATTTTTCTTAAAGAAGAGATATATAACATGTTTGTTGAAATGGGTAACACCACTGTAAATTAAGTAAAATACAACTCTATTTATAGATCAATCATAAACAAAATAACACATGAGCATCTAAAACTCACAAAATAAAAAGAATAGAGAGATCTTTAAGTACATGACTACATGTAGTGATATAATTATGGATATTTATTGATTGATTACTTTCATAATTTATAAATAGTTTAGTTAGTCAATTGTCAACAAATATATTATAAATAACTTTGTAAGTAAATTTGAAATTTCTACTAATAACTTACAATTAGCTTTGTAAGCAGTTCTTTAAGCAACTCATGAAATTTTTATAAGTTACTTTTTCTGTGAAAAATAGCAATTATAGTAATTTTTTATATGAATTTTATAATTTTTTAATTACAATTAGCCTTTCTTTTCTTTTTTTTTAAAGCTAAGAGTCTAATAAAATATGAGTAATATATTTATATTTTTGAAAATAAATGAGTACTATATAAGTTTGATTCACAAGTAAGCAGGGGTAAAAATGAGATTGCAAAAGTAGGTGAATAAGCTTTACGAAACAGCTAAATGATTTGAAATATTCCCAGGATACCACTGTTCTAAAACCACTTGCGGGCGCCCCTTATAACTTCCAATCCCCTCACATGGAAAATCAATTCCTTCAACAATATATATACACACACCAACTCCAAAAATCCATAAACAACTCAACAAACAAAATTGATTTTTCTTTTTCTATTAAACCATAAGCTATGCGTTTAAGCTGTAATGGTTGCCGGGTTCTCCGAAAAGGTTGCAATGAAAAATGCTCCATTAAACCTTGTCTTCAATGGATACAATCTCCAGAAGCTCAATCTAACGCCACTCTTTTCCTTGCTAAGTTTTATGGCCGTGCGGGGCTTCTCAATCTCATTAATTCTGGACCTGACCATTTGCGTCCTGGTTAGTTAATTTTACATATAATGTTATAAGTAGCAAATTAGATGTAGTGATGATGATGATGATTAATTTTGATTTTTTGTGTATTGCAGCTATTTTCAGATCGTTGTTGTATGAAGCTTGTGGACGTATTGTAAATCCAATTTACGGTTCTACTGGTTTGTTAACTTCCGGCAACTGGCCTCTTTGTCAAGCTGCTGTTGAAGCCGTTCTAAACGGTGCGCCGATCGTTAAACTTTCACCCGACTCGGCTGCAGACGCAACGAGCCCTCCGCTTAAAGCATGTGATATTCGCCACGTGTCTAGAGAAAATATCTCGGATCCCGATCTGCACAAGGTTAAGTCCAGAACCCGGTTTAAACGGGTATCAGCTAAGCCTGAGCCGAGGAAGCAGTCGCCGGATGTTGACGATGCGGCTAGGGTGATGTGGAGTTGGTGTCATAAGGAGGAGGAAGAGGCAGTCGGGTCACCGAGCCTTAATTCGGGTCTGAGCCAACAGCGGACGGAAGAGCCGAGCCGGGATGGAGAAAGCGGCGATGTGGATAGCGGCTCGGTAGAGACCGTAGAAGCCTTACCAGCGAAGCTGGATGAGAGCGATGTTTGCTTGGAACTAACGCTGGGGTGGCTACCGTTGATTAGAAGCTGATGAAAGAAATGAACGGCCTGGATGAGGCCACGTGTATAATACGACTGTTGGAGCTTATTTTGACGGGTTTAAATTTAAGATAATCCTGTGAGAGAGCCCCCAGTTTTTTGGATGGTGGTTTTTTATTTATTTATATTATTAGAGTTTATTCCCAAGTAGATTTGTATTTCTTTTAGTACTAATTCTTTTTGCAGTAAAAGAAGTCCATGTGCAATGTGAATGTTAGATATAAAGGATATATGACTATACAAATCTAAGTTACATTTGCCCTTCCAAGATCTCGAATCTGTTTATTAACTTATTTCAGTATTAGTTTTTTTGCTTATTTAATATACATATGATATAACTTATATTATCGCTACAATAAAGATAGTGAAATTAATAATTTTAAAATCGCTTAAAACGTCCAATCAAATATGTGTATAGTTAGATTATGGTTTGGGTGGTGTATATTAGAATGGATGAACTTGTATTCAAATAATAATTTTTTGAATAAACTATATTTATTGTGAGAAGTTTACTTATTTTCAAATTCATATGTTTGGCTATTTCTTAATATTTTAAGAAAAACTAGAGTGTGTTTGGTGTGTTATTAATAGCTACACCTTTCATTTTCTTGGTAGTTGGTTTATTAGATGAAATAAAATAAATTCCTTAAAATAAAAAAATTCTGATCAATTAATTTTTGCTTTTTTCATCGAAGTTTCCGGTTTATTCACTTTTTATAACGTACAAAAGAAACAATATTTGTCATGTTATCATCACAACTACTTTGACATTATCTATGTTCGTCTATTTTGAGTTGGTAAAGGTAATTGGTTCTCTCTTCTTTGATGAGTTTTGGTTAAGAGTTTTTTTTTTCGTAATATATTACATTATGATTGTACCTAGTGAGTCGATTGCTTAGTTAACACTATTTAAGCTTTGACAATAAAAAGTGAAATTCTCATAGCCAAATGAGCCTATATTGACTGATTTCTCATTACGATTAATTTAAATTTGTATATTGCCATTGGATTCGGCATAACTTGTCGAAGTCAAATGTGTAGGTTCAACGATACTAGCTCGATAGGTACAAATGGATAATTCTACGATCACAATTACGCTCTCAAAGTAATTGTTACTCACTGAGTTGGGCTTTTTATATGCATTTGTATGTATGAATCCATACAAAATAGGAAGAGGACAAGGCCCAAAATCATCTTAGGTTACACACACAACCAACCCCAAAACAAATGGGTTGAGTCCCAACTAAATATAGTCTTTTATGTCTACAACAAAAGTACAATATACAAAAGTGTCTTAGAATGTATATACATTGTATATTCTCATCTTAATTGAGTTCCTCGACGCCTTGTTGATGTCTCTCTTTCAACCTCTGCCACCACAATGATTAGAGATTATTTCTTTTTCATGTTTAATTAACAAGAGTACGATTGATACATATATGCATGGTAAATCTGTTCTTTATTTTTTTTATACATACATACAGCAATTAAACAACAGTATATGAATAAAGAAAGAGATTACCTTTATCGAAAAATTAAAGTCACGGAGAAGTCGATTGAAAAGTGGCATAAAATTGTTACTTACTATTTATCAAAATGTTAGTACTGCTTAACTAGCTAGAACAAGCTAAGGTCAAAATTAATATATTTTATATAGTTAACTTAACTATATATAAATGGATAGGAGCTCCCTTCAGTCCAATAAGTGAGACAAGTTAGCGGAAGTAGTTGCTCCCTTGCCATGCAACTGGTTAATCTTAACACTATACATAATTTGTTTGTTAAGGTTAACCAATATGCATGACTAGGCAGCTCTTGCCGCTCCTCGTCCCTCGGTCTTGGCTTGAAAGGAGCTCCTACTTACATCTAAACATTCTTTAACTTACTAGTTGAGAATGTGGACTTCGAAAATCAAATGAAAAAAAAATAATAGTTGAGCAAAATTTCTCCTTTTTTTTTTTTGTGTTGTGTGTATGAGAAAGTTGAAGCTTCACTCCCATCAGCTATTTATATATGTAGAAGTAGAACATGCCCTACATGAAGTTGCACTTAGATAAAAATTGTAGGGTAGGTAGGTTTGGAATCTTTGAGCTACCTAATAACCTATGACAATAGGCAACATAGCTATGCCACTTCTAATCATTTTTTGGAGTTTGGGAATCATGATTCATGCAGACAAGCCTCTGCTCATTACCTAATGGATACTTTGACTGTAGAAGCTGATGCTAAATTCACTTTCCACTTACTCTCATTTTTTGTCGATTCTAAAACAAATAACACATTTCTTCATCATCAAATGGTCAAACATACTAATATATTGTTACAAATAGTTTAAATGTACCCATCGTAAGATTGGAGCGGTATATTTGGAGATAAAGTATAATGAGGGGTATATTTAAACTATTTCTAATACTGTACGAGTGTATTCGATCCTTTGTCATTTTTTTTGTTATATGATAAGTAATAATTTAGCTTTAAATTTTTTTATTTTTATTTTTAATAAAATGATTTATAGTCATCACATAAAATATCTACTACCTATTTTAAATCATAAATTTCAAAAATTCTTATTTTTTAAAAAAATTTCGTGTCAAATCAAACTGACGAGAGACAGAGAAATACTATATCAGATTGTGTGACGTGATCAAGCTTCTCAGTGTTGTTTGCTTTTGTGATTTGATATGACTCTACATGGGAAATAAAAGATGTTGTAGTACATTACTTGTAACTCATAAAAAAACAAAATCTTTGACTAAATCTAGCCGTACTAATAATGCTCTTGTAATAATGCTTGAGATGAGGAGCTACGCGTGCATTAAAAAAAATAATTTGATGAACATGTTTACAATGAGGGAGCATACATATGACAATAACGAAAATAATAAATATGCATCATTTAAAAGTGAAAAAAAATGAGTAAATATACCTTTGGAATGAGTCAATTGGTTTGAAGGGTGATTATTCATACGGATACTTTGAGATTGATTCCTCTCAATGTCTTCTGAGTCGAGCGTGTCGCATAGGACTTGTTTAGTGTGATTTACATGCGTCATATGTTTTGCAGGCAATTACACAGTTAAAAATTTACTCAGTGCTTACCACAGAGTGAATCCCCAAAGGATAGAGACTGTGACAGAAATTATAATGACCGGGAGTTATTTAAAAATAAATAAATTGTCATTTAAAATAAATACATTACTCATTAAACGAAGGTACATATATATACACTTGCGTTTAACAAATGACACATATATAGGCCATGAATTGGGCTGAGCCGATTCACTTTTTCTAGAATGTTTTTTTCATAATTTTTTTAATTAGAAAATTTTAAAATATCTACTAGTCAATATTATACAATATTGCTAATTAAATCTCAAATCATCTTAATAATATTTTAAATATAACTTTAAGATTTGGCTTTGGCATTGGGTAATTATCCTAACAATCTTCATTCAGCAATCACGATTCTATTTTTGATTAATACATTATAATTACGAATCGACGCAAACATTATTATTGATAAATCTCTAACTTTTAAAGTCAAAAGAGTTATTGAAATGATGAATTAAACGAATGAGACAACAATACGAGGTCGTAATATTTTTTTTGGTCCCTCCGTGACTAATTAAATCGTCCTTCCCTTGTTTTGTAAGAATGTTTTGTATTTGTCTTCCTTCTAAGCTTTTAGGATTCCCCTATTCCTGAGATTGTGACATGACCTTATTTTTGGATTTACTTCTTCTCTCCCATTTATGCTTTTAAGGCATGGTATGCCTTCTAAAAAATTGTCGGGATATTTTATATAGACATTCAAACTAAGTCATGTATTAATTGAACATCTCAACTCTTAATAAACTGTTCTAATTACACACTTTTAGTTTAATTTTGAAAGAAAAAATTGTGTGTTCTCTGACTATTTTTTTTTCTACTCTCTTTTGGAGGTTTCTACTTTTCGTTCACTTGATGACTCGCCCTCACAACCTTATAGTTGGAGTTGGAGGATGTATATTGTTAGTATGGTTAAGTACCACATTGGTTGGGAAATGGACGGATTAATTCGCGAATTGGATTGATTATTTTTTTATATGGACTTGAATAATCATCCGCTCGTAGATTAACTTTTGAGGTTGAGTTAAATGTGATTGTCATATATTTACATTTACCTGAGTGATCCCCTCATTCGTCTATTAGATAGTTGTATCAACTATATAATATATATCACTTTTTAATTATATGCATCATTTCAATGAGGATTAAAAAAAATGACATATTGTGAATGACTAACCTAAGTAGTTAATAGACGAATGAAAGCACACACACTTACTTTTTATCAAAAATTTAAATGAAAAGTGTCTGGTTAAAAATCTTTATTAAAGTTGAGATTTACAATTAAAACCAACCTTAATAGAAAATCATGATAAATTAAGAGGATTAGCATGTACTATGTATGGTTCAATTTTGTTTCTTTTCGCTTGTCGGATTTCATTTCAGACATGCTAAATGGGCCAAGGCCCACGAGAGAATGAGAAGTGTAGAGTTTCGAAGAGGAGAAACTATCTAATTACGCACATTTATATATCAAATAAGAGAATTTCATGCAAATTTCATAATATTAAGAGTTAATTACATTTTATTTTTATTCTTTTTTCAAATAAGAAAATTTCTCAAATTTAATGAAATGTAGATACATTCAAAAATGTCTCAATACATACCGTCTCAATTTAGGGCCTTTTGGATACATACCTCCACATTCAGATACATCACATTTTGATTTCAGATACATTATCAATGTCTCAATATATACATCGTACATATCTAGATACATCGTGTATGTGTGAGAGAATAGGAATTTTTTTTATCTATTTCATTTGGTAATGAATTTTAGAGAATATAGTAAAATAAGTTGTATATTTAGGTAATTTTTCCTTCAAATAATTATGTACTTACCGTTAATTAAGACTTTCCTATCATATATTCAGGAAGATATATCAAGATCCATGTATTTCTTTTACCGGATATATTAAAATTGAGAGAGACAAACGAAATAAGAATGAAAATAATTATGTATTTCAAATACATGTAAAATACACTAAAAATACATATATCCATATATATCTCATGTGGTTGAATATATCTATGGTACCAGATGCATAGAAAAGTAACCAGCTAGTGAGATATATATGAATTCTCCTCGTAAGAAAGAGATATTATCAAGTTATTTTGCAAATATCTTTGTTGCTTATTACTTATGTTTTTTAATATGCAACAAATACAACATGTTTCTTGTTAATGCACATTGTCAGACATAACAATATTATTATTTTTCTTGTTTTGTCGATGGGTATGGGTCCAACCTTTGCGCTTGGTGCTCTTGATATATCATTAGGTATTGTTCTTGAACTTTGACATACCCCAATACCTCTTTATTTTTTATATTGACCTTACTTTTGTATTTTTAACACTTGTCCTTGACATCCCAAAAGATATCGATATTTTAACCCGCTCAACTTTTATCAAGTTTTTTTTTTTAAAAAAAAATATTATTTTTTTGATCGATAGATGCATCATATATATCCAAGAGAACATTCAATAAAAAAAAGTCAAAAACTAGCTAGGTTAAATCAGCATGCAAATTTAGCTCTAGTTCTCTAACAATCTCCTATACTAAAACAAATTGTATTTTAAAATATTTTTGATTTTTCTGTTATTTTACAATTTTATAGGAACTTTAACAAAATATTTGTCAGATGAGAAATTGAAATTATAAAATTATCATAAAGAAAAAAAGAACATTCTGAACTAAAAAGAAAGTAGGACAAGTAACTTGTTAAATGCATAAAAATAGAAGTCATTATATAATAGGACGAAGGTATGATATATATCTACCAAAGTTAAATTTAGAGTATTTTTGGTTTCTTAATTTAATAGAATATATTGACAAACTAAATACAACGAGATTATATATTTGATTGGGTCATATAGTGCATTATTTGCTTCCAAGACACGAAAAACAAAATTATGACACGTGGAGATCTTAAATTAAGTAATTTCCATCAAGGATGTCAATTTATGGATCAACTATCAGAATTACAGGGAAAAATAGCGTAATCAAATATGGAACTAATTACTAATTCATGGGAATATAATTAATTATATGTGGTAAAACATTTTATTTAGATCATGAAATTTTAGGAAAGGTGCATTTTTGTACAGCCTAATAATTGGAGCGCGATAAAATTGGATGTTTTATTGGGCGTGGGTGTCCCATATATTAACTCACTGAATTAGAAGGAACGATGGATCCAATTTGTGTCACTCTCAATTTGGGTTTACAGTCTATTCCGAGTTCCCACATGCATCCCATATATATATATATATTAATAACCTCAATCACGGAATTATTTTTAATTTGACACGTGTATATGTACCGTCTTAAAGATCATGAACTCTCTCTCTATATATTAATCAAACTCAATTATGGAACTATTTTTAACTTGACACGTATATATGTACCGTCTTAAAGATCATGAACTCTATTTCTTTGAACCAATCTTATATTCTCTATATCTCAATTTATGTGATGTAATTTGACTTGATATAATCTGTTATCGATCTGATTATGCATGCACAACTGGGTGATTTTGTATAGTAATTAGGGTTTATCATTAAGCTCTTTCTCTAACAACAAGTGTTTAGCAGCATGAACTTTTAAAATATAATTAAGTGGTTGCAGATTGAGATATTTTTTTTTTATTTCAAGTTTATTCGTTGAATTAAAAATGATATTGCATACTTTATATATGTTTGCAAATATGCAATATATGTAACCAAAGCTGAATTAATTATTTTGTTAATTGAATAAAAGCATAGGTTATGACTC